TAGAGGGCTTTCCTCTCACAATTATACTAATTATCGTGCGCTCGCGCGCGCAGCACGTCGAATTTAACGCAAGATCCGGCCAATTGTAATTAACGATAAAGGTTTTATTCCTTCCGTCATTCTCTTGTGTACATCACAAAAACATGCGTAACAGTTCCTTTCAGACAGCAGATTCTTTGATAAGGTTTGTTTTAAAAAAATTTTATACAGAAATGGCAAGTATAAACGTGTTACTTGTAATATGAACTCAAAGTGAACTTTCGAAGTTATCGGCTGCAAATTCAAAGTGTCTGTAATAGCAAAACAAATTTCAAATGTGCGAAATATTCACGATTTTTATTTATGATATTCGACGGAAGAAAAATATGAACTTCAAATTGCATCTAAAAGCCAAAGTCCACATAATAACGCCTGCGTGCCACGATATGTCTCCCTCTCTCTCTTACTTCTCATCTTCAAGAAATTAAATATACGTTGTGCACGTGAAATGTATATCTGCTAATCATTTAATCATAAAGATGTATGAGAGAATGAGAAAAAAGGAAAAAAAGAACAAATAAAAAAAAAGAAAAACAGAAAGAGAGAGAGAGAGAGAGAGAGAGAGAGAGAGAGAGAGAGAGAGAGAAATATGTATTAATGTATTGAGTGAGATAATATATCTATCATATTTCTTTAAAACCCTCGATAATACCGACGTTTAAAAAAGTAAATGTGTACGAATGAAAGAATGCGTATAAAAAAATAAGAGAAGAAGAGAAGACAAAAGAGAGAGAAAAAGAGAGAGAGCGAGAGAGAGAGAGAGAGAGAGAGAGAGAGAGAGAAAGAGAGAATGTACGAAAAAAAAACAAAGAGCAACAGGGAAAACATAAATTAATATGCATCATTACTGATGTACTACACTATAAACGCGAGAAGTGGAAAAAATCTATCTTATATAAATATTATACATACATACATACATACACACACACACACACACACACACACACACACCCACACACACACACACACCCACACACACACACACACCCACATACTCACACACCCATACACATATATATAGAGCTAGTCCAATTTGCAAATTTAGTGTGTATTGTCGCTTCAAAAATGCCCATTACTTGCCAAAATTCAAGTGAACAAAACCCAACAACCGAGATTTCAAGTTCATTCTTTTTTTAAGGAAAAACTAAATAAAATAATGTGTTGAAATATTTCACATGAACGACTTTTTTCACTTGACCACAATCCCAAATTTCTAACAAAATATGACAATAACAATTAGTACAATTGTTATAGAAGACAAGGAAAGTAATAAAAGGAAAGTAATGACATATAATCATCTTTAAAAATTCATTAATTAAATATGAATCTAATATAATTCTACAAAGATAATAATCCTATATAAATAAATAAAAATTAAATGTATACAAAATATACAAAATATAAGTCGTAATGATATTTTTATTCAATGAAACAGTGTGTATGTTAATTAGAAATTGGTAGAGACAAAGTTTTTTAGATACATTAAAAACAATGGAATTTTTAACTAATTACAAGCTTTAGTTAAATTTTTTTCTTATATAAAAAAATTGTAAAAATATATATTTCATATTTCTTCTATATTTCTCCTGTCAAATATGATTATGTATGGACATACAATTATCATCCGACCAATGTCTTAATTCTTTTCGGCCGCTAGATGGACGTAGTGTGCAAATGAGGAAGATTCGAAGTCATTTAAAGGGAGAGAGAGAAACTATTCTATGTATTGTATAATCTATATTTATCATCAGCTGGCATCGTCCAGCCACTAGCATCGTCAGTTGTTGTGTTCATGATCGTTTAATATTTAAATATGTATAAACGCGGCGCGTTGATAGTTTTAGAAGGTTGTGATCGGACAGGTAAATCGAGTGAAGATGCTGATAAATGCGTTGAACAATCTCTGCGAAAGCCCGGGCATTTCCAAGTGAGTTGCAGTAAACCGCGTGTCGTGAAATTAGGTTATTTTGCGCGGAAAAGATCTTCCTATTGTAAATATAAATCAACGAAAATTCAGAATTCACCAACGAAATATAATAATAATGTCGAAAAATAATAATTTATGAAGAATATTTTTATAATTTGGAATGTTATCGTTTTGTCATTGTTACATTTATTGTGTTGTTAATATCATTACATTTCCTGTTGTTGTGAATGTGGAGTGATTGGCGCGCAAACTCGATAAATTGTTGTTAGTGTTGTTTAAAAAAATAGACAATTGATAATAATAAATTAATTTCATAATAGACTTAATTATGTGAAGGAATAAAGTTATTCATAATCCAGAAATTTTTGTCTAATAAAAATTGTAAGTTCAGACTTTGTGTATTTGAAGAAATATTTCTTTTTTATTTTTCTTTTAGATAGAAAGACTCCTGTTGGAACTATTTTAAATAGTTTCTTGTCAAAAGAGATAAATGTGCCACTGGAGGCTGCTCACTTATTGTTTTCTGCTAATCGCTGGGAGTGCAAGGAAGACATGGAGAAGACTCTTCAATCCAGCACTATTAGTGATAGACAGATACGCAACTTCTGGCACTGTATATACAGCAGCTAACACCGGCAGAAGTCTCAGCTGGTGTCAGCAGGCTGATTTAGGTCTTCCAAAGCCAGACTGTGTTTCTCAAGGTGTCCAAACAACAATAACAAGAACTGCATGGTGACTGAAGGAAAGAAAGGTTTGAGCATGACGAATTTCAATAGAGTGTCAATAGAAAGCAATTATGAAAAATTAAGAGACGACACTTGGGTCATTATAAATGCTAATCAAGACGAATCAGCAATGCATGCCGAAATATCACAAAAAACATTGTCTGTTATTCAAGAAGTTGTTCAATATCGTAGTATAGAATTGCTAAGTGACTAAAAAAAAGTCTTAATAAGTCTGTATGTGTTATTACCTCAGCCAATTAATTTGCTATTATTTTTAATAAACTCTTGATTATATAATAAATACATTCCTTCTTGAATAAGAAACTATTTTAATATTTGAAAATTTTTTAATTGTTAGACTTTGTACTTGCATATCAAAAAAATTGTAAATCATTGTGTAAATTGTTATTTGATAGATATTATTATTGATTAATGTAACTAAAATAAATATTGTTGAAATTTAAAAAATTGAAGAAATTTGAATTAATATATATTTTTGAATTGCTGAATAAGTTGATGTTATGTTTGCCTTAGAGTTATTTATTTTATAGATATCCAAATATCAAATTTTGCAGTGGTGAAAGTTTATTTTAATTTACGTTTATTTTAATTTACTTTGTAATAAATGAAATTCAAGGATATGAGACGTTACGCGGTTTATCTTGCGAGTTTAATAATTTTATATTTATAATAAGTAACCATGAGAAATTTCCGTTTTGTTTTAGGTAATATGATTTGATCTTTATCGAAAAAAGTGAACACTAAAGAAAGAACTGGAGATTACAGATATCTTTCTCTCAAATAAAGCTAGAAAAGTGTAGAAAGGTATGGTTTTATCGTACGTTTAGATTCGATCTCGGCAATATAAAGTATTTTGCCAGATATATTTCCAGAATCAGATCGCATATTTTGCGCGTATATGTATTCATACTTGTATGTATTTATGAGATACATTTGCTCCTTGCGGCATGATTGATGTTTCATTACGTTAGAATTGTATCATAAATGAAATTATATAAGAAATACAAAAATACTTAAAATATTAAAATATGAATAGAATTACATGCAGGGCTGGGCACATTTCAAATACTTGTATTTTAAATACTGTATTTTGAAATACAATATAAAATGTATTTTGTATTTCAAGAAAGTTATTCAATGTATTTTGTATTTCAAATATAATTTCAGTGTATTTTGTATTTGGAATACCAAAAAAATCCTGGATAATGATCCTTAACAACAATAATAGTAACTTAAATTTTTTTTTCGGCGATACTGATTATTTTCGTTAACTTTCAAGCAGTATCAAGTCATTCAATGTTATCAAATTTTATGATCTCGCACAAAAAATTCTCATGCGGTTGGTAACATAGAAAAATAGAACTTTTAAAGAGAACTTTTTACAAGAGAGTGGAGCCCTAGACACAATGCGAGAAAATAGCCATAGCGAAGAATAATATGATCAACCTATTAGTAATTGTGTATTCCGGTATATCCGATTTCTGATAGATTGAAGTCGTATTATTCTTGTCGCTATCACTATTTCCTTGCATTGTATCTGCCAAATTTTTGGAGATTTCAAGCAACGCGAACAGATTTAATGATACTGACAATCGTTGATAAAACGTTAGAGGAATCCTGCTACTAATAAAGTCTGCGGCACACGATGTTTATTTTCCTACTAAATTACTTATGTGTTAGGGTATATTCACATAAACTTGCATAACTGCATAAACGTATACAGAAAGAAAACTTCTTAAGATGCCATTGCAAAAGCACAGGCAATAGGAATATTCCCTGTTTCTATTGCCTATGCTTTTCATTCTGTTTCCAGCTTTATGCTCACACGCTGTAAACATCTGTTCATCTTTGTTGTCTATCAAATATTAAAGAAGGAGTGCGTTTCATGTATGATGTGCATGATGCATCATTTATTCTTGTTTAATATTTGGGGATCAAGGATAAATGATGTATTATGCACATCATAAAACGGAACATATTATATATATATATATATCTACTAAAAATGTACTTTTGGGAACAACAATTGTTGACAGTTTTATTTTACGTGTATGTTATCATAGTTTAATTAAAAAATTTATTGATAATTTTAATTTTATTTAAAATGTCAAAATATTCAATTCACTCAAAATACAAGAACAAAAGACTTTGTTATGTATATTCTTAATCTAGTATATTAAGTTTCCTTTTCTTATCTAATAATATAAAGTATTTTCTTTGCAGCATTAAATAAATGTTTTTTATCTGCAAAATCGAATAATTTTAAATTCCAAATCTTCTTTCCTTTATTATAATCTAAAATAATCTATCTAACCCTTTAATCATAATATTTCTCTGCTGAGTGTGAATTATTGCGATTTTTTATGACGACACGCCATTAATCCTTCAGTATTGCTTACGTGCAGCGATGTGCGCCGGGTGTACAAATCATATTATTCAAAGGTTGGGAATGTCGTCTGGGAATCGTGTCCTTTCAAGCCTGTTACGAATTTTTGAACGACAGCGCAACTTTGTTTCGTACGGAAACGCAACCCGGGGAAATTGCATCCGATGAAGAAAACCAGCGGAAAGGCACAATAGAGCTCCAAGTCTGAATTGATTCCGAGGCGATATAATTTTCCACGTGAGCGAGGACGTGATTTCGTGAATTATCGGGAAAACTATTACCTTCGAACTCTAATTGTAAGTTTCATATTGTTTACTCAATAGTATATTGCAAGAAAATGAATTTACCCCAAGAGAATTCTTTCTTCCTCTGTACACATAGAGCATTATATTATGTCCTGCAATAATAATTTGTAGAGAGTTTCTTTTTTAAGCGTTTATTTCGTAGTAATAATTGGTCTGTTATTGATCGTAATTAATTAAATTGTCGTCTTTTTTTGTGAATATGTTCATTGACAAGAAACATTATGTGGAAGATGTATAGCGACATTAATTTTTGTCGTTTTTTTAAACCTGTTTACTGTAAATATAATTAGATATTATTTGATTGTACATTTGATCCTCCGTTGATCTTTATATTTCTCCAAGATTCATCATTTCTTTTTCTCTCTGTAAATTTAAGAAAACTATGTTAGTATCAAAATTATGTTTTTGTATTAAAGCAGCAGAAAAAAAAATAAAAAAAAGAATACAAGAAAAATGAAAATATTGATCAAGAAATTATCATTTATTGTTTTTTATATCTTCATTATAAAATTTCAAAATATTTTATTGCATTGATAGAAATGTAACAATATAAATAAAAAACTAATATTTAGAAAATATAAAATTGACTTGATTTAAAGAAACTAATATATTTTTATGATAAAACGCACGTTTTTTGTCGATACATTACTTATATTGAAAAATATCACAATTCTAATAAGGAACGAAATTTACACAATCTTACAATATTTGGTAGCTTTGTTAATGACCACACTGAAAGAAAAGATTGGCTGAATATGGCATAGCACTTTTAATTGGTTGCAATAACCAATTTTTGATTGCGTTAACCATCAAAATCCTAACTCCTACCTCCTACTCCTTCGGTAAGTCTCTTAATTTTGTCTGTAAAAATTTGAAACTAAAAAATGAGTCTATTAGCTCCTGTCTTCCCTAAATAATATTTAATAAATTAAGTTTTTGTTAGGTGCGGTATATATACCGGAGTTACCCTATTGACATTGTGTATAGGCTAACACAACCAAAAATTAGCTGCTGCAGTTAAAAATGCTATGCCATATATTTACCATCTTATTTGTTGCAGCAGCCAATCTTTTCTTTCAGTATAACTACATTAAGAACAGAAAAATTTAATTTAATTTCACTTTCGTCTAAATTTATTAAATATTAGAATTTATTAAATATTGATTGATCCTCTTATGATATAAATGCCTTATGTAACTTTCATCAATCGGCATGGGAATCGTCGGACGGCTGTTTCTTCTCTCATGAAACCATTCCTTCGCATCATCCCGATCTTCTGATTTGATCGATCGCTTCCCTCAACACGCACGCATCCAAAATCATTCCTGTCCGCGAAGGAAGTCAATCGCGCTCGCGAAAGATGAAATTAGAAGGCGACACGATGTAATGCGACGCGACACAACGCGACGCGCCGCGTCGCGACGCTCACGAGCGCGACAGATCAATTTCTGGCGCACTGTCGCCGACCGACCCGATTTCCGCGCATTGTCATGTCGCAATAATTTCCACTCTACGATAATCTTCGTTGCAATTGAGGGAAACATATATAATAATAGTAAAACGAAAATATATGAATGCCTTGCGCGATGTTATAAGTTTTATGTTGTTAGTTAACGTAATCTGTACACAAAAGATGACAGTTGCTGAAAATTGAACAAAGTAAAATGAATTAAACATTTTACATATATTATAAAAATTGATCCACAATTCAATTATATAACGTGCTTCATAATAACATATGTTTTCGTAATGAAAAAATAAATTTGCATAAGATTCAAAGAATTCCAAGTAAATCTTATGAAAATGAGAGTGATAAGTACACGTGTGTTGACTATCCACAATCTGCTTAGTTCACAATTTGACAATTTATCGCTATGTCATCACCGCAATGTCTATTTCAGTTTAGATTTGAAATAATTTAAAATAATGCAATCAATTTAAATAATATATTTATTCTATTAATTGAAAAATTATTGAAAATGTTTATACGAAAACATTTTATTTTATATTTTCGATTTACTTTTATGTGAGAAATTACTTCCTTACTACGATTTCCGAAACACCTTGTATATCAGTCAAATATTCAGTTTTTTCATAATCTTTTTCATAAGTTTTAAATACATTTTCTTCATAGTATATATGTTGATAAAAACTATTTACACAGCAAAATGTTTGATTAATTCTAACTTGTTCACTCGTTACAAAATACAACTGTTTAGTTTCAGCAATTTCCCCGGTTGTTAATCTACATATTCAACCATTTTTTAAAAATCTTTATTAAATTTCCGGAGAAATATTATTTAAAATTTTGCAATAAATTTGTCATCAATAATAATAACAATAATGTTGATGATTATCGATAGTTTCAGTTATTGCATGGAGCTTAATTAATTGATTGAAATGCAATACGAAAATAATAAGTATACAATTTTTAATTAAAGATAAGCTTATTAAAATTTATTAAAGATTGTCGAATCCTACTGTTTGACAATTTTCAAAAGATATTCTAGAGACATTATTAACTGATAAAAAAAACTTGTTTTACGTTCTAAGATTAAAATAAATTTATTTATAGCTTGATAAAAAAGTATTGGCACTTAAAATATTATATGCTTTCTAAAAATAGGTTCGATTACGTAAATTGTGATCACTTAGATCCTCTGCCGCTTTTAGAGAAGCATAGAAGGGGTGGATTTTTAATTGGTAAATTCCGATTCCTTCTCTAAGTTAGGATGACGACTAATGCCAATTTTAAATAGCGGCATTAAATTACATTTAACGTTGCTCACCTACATAATCTTTTTCTTATTGTTATCTAAAATAAAATTCATATTCCTTTTTGAAGAAATATTTAAAAAATCGAAACAGCTATTTAATTATAATAGATTTAATTATAATAGTTTTTTAGAAAAATACTTAATTAATTAACTACCTAATTGACATTCAATAATTATAAAACTTTTTAAAATTTTTCAAACATATCTTTTAATAATAAACATTACTAACGTTCTGTTCTTATGGATTTAATACGATATACGATTAAGATTCAACAATCTTTAGCAAATATTTTTTTTATATAATCTTGCGTACGCGTGTTTATTATTAACGAAATAAATATTATTTTTGATAGAGGAATTTTTTATAATAAAAAATTGTGTGAGGGTTGCAACAAATTGCACAGTTTGGAAAGTTAAAATAAAATTAAAATAGTTGCGTTTCTGAAATCAGTGCAGCTAGTACATGTTGCTTTCACTTTGGAATCTTAAAACTGGACTGCTTGTTCCGATCATCCCTAAAACCGGTACTGCCGACGGCGACAATGACGTCGATGGAATCGCGATGGTGGACGGTGTTGGCGACAGGGGTGGTGGAAATAGCGGTGGATAGAATGAAAGGGAAGGATGCAAGTCGCTCGATGGAGTAACGAGGGGCTAAGAGGACGAAAGAGCAGCACATGAACGAAACGATCAATAGATATAAGTTACCTACTTGTTCCGCTGGTACCTGTCTTTGACTGTTTGACAATAGGCGCTTTGATGAACCATCATTACGTAATTTTATAATAAATATTACTGAAATAAATATTATTCAAAAAGACATTTATAATAATTTATAAAATTTAATATATTGTGCTTTCTGACATAGTTTCTTGTGGTTATTTAAATAAATTTTCTAGATAAATATCTAGATAAATTCACAATGTGAATATCACAATAAATAACGAAAAGATTTTATCGATCTGATCTTAATGCTTAAATAATATTTCAGTATTAATTTTTATACATACTCAGTTCTACAGTTGCGCGCCGAAATCATTTTTAATCGTTAAATATAATCTTAAACTGAATTGGGGTAGTAATATCACAAATTAAATTGCCAAGCAAATTTAATAATATTGTAAATAAGCATCCTAAAAAATTGAAGATAATTTAATGCTTAAGCAACTTATAACATTGTAAATAATTTATTGCGAAAAATATCACCTCAGCCAAGATTAGGCAGCCAAGTTTATCTTTGCATAATTGAGAAAATATTATCATTAATATTGCATATTTTAGATTTGTTAACTGAAAATGTTAAAATGATATAAATTATGTGTTTGATAAGAATTTCTAATAATAAAAAAAAATACTCTAATCAATAATTCTTCCTATTTATTATTCCTAAACCTAGAGCTGACTCTTGTAAATCAGAAAAACTTAAACTTTCCGGTTGACTGCTGCCTGCCCCAGTTCTTTGTAACTTTAGTGCGAGTATGCGTATGTGTATGCGTGTGTGTACGTACGTGTGTACGCATACTCCCACTTTCTGCGTACATTCTGACCCGACATCCGAGAAAGAGAGAAAAATTCGAGACTCTCTTCTCGTAATATCTTCTCTCTCCTTTGCTTTTACTGCGTCTGCCGCTACCGTCGTCTCATACCACTTGGCAAATGCTGGAGACGCAAAGTCGCTCTGACTGACCTTACTATTGACAAGGACGCTTCCCCTGATTTATTAAGTCTGGAGCGACGTAAGGAAATGAGCTGCTCGTCGAACGATAAATGGGGAAGAATTTACATAAGTTAAAATTATAGTTATGGTAATTTAAAATTATTCTAAAAAGAAAAGTTTTAATTCATTATTTAAGCTAAGGGAGATTCATCAGGTCCATTCGTATAGTATAGTTAATAGTAGGAACGCTCCTGAGATGAAGCCATACGCGCGTTGTTTACAAGCATCCGACGATTCGTTGCTAAGCAGTTTACGCTGTAAGAGGGGAACAGTGGGCGTAACCAACGAAATCAAGCCGAAACGTGCAACTAAATTCCAACTCTGTAGTATAGTTCAAGGACCGCCACGCACCAAGCAGCGAGCGGGATTCTGTCCGTGGCATAGCGGTATTGGCACATCGTTTCCGTTTATCGTAACGAAATAGCGTCGTTAATTAATTAATTAACTGGGGGAGGCCACGTTTTTGATGCGACTCGCATCTCTGATTCAGAACGGACTCTACTCTTGGCGCTTCGAACCAATTGCGGTGATGGATGGCGTCAGGGCTTGGTGTCTTTATCAGAGCACGTGTCATCAGAGAAAGCGATAGTTCAGTTTGAAACCGCTGGGATCCATCGCTCATTGACATTGTTTAAAATTATAGAAATTAATTACATTTGAAATAATACAACGGAAAATATCTATTTGGATATAATAAAATAAAATAAATGTGTGTGTGTGTGTGTGTGTGTGTGCGTGCGTGCGTGCGTGCGTGCGTGCGT